GTCCTCCCTAGGCTAATTCCCTGCCGGGTTCCACCCTCCTGAATGCTTAAGAGAAGTTCCTTGTCTGTGTATCCTGCATATTGAACATTAACAGTTTAGTTGCAAGATTGTAAAACATCATTGCGAACTTCTGCCCTCCGGGGTTCCCCCATTGTGCTGTAAGCCTGTATTTAAGACCTCCTCCCTCCTTCAATAAATGGCATTCGGCATAAAAAAAAATAAAAAAAAAAAAGAAAATGACTGAAGATATAAATACCAGTTACAAAGGTATAAACAGAAGATTTAAATAAATGCTTCAGATTATTTTCCCCTTCTGAAAAAAAAAGTGTGGATATGGACAAGTTAAGACTGGTATCTAAATTTTATATTTTTGACTTAAAAAAAAAAAAGGAGGCAGAGCCAGGCGGATCTCTGTGAGTTCGAGGCCAGCCTGGTCTACTGAGCAAGGTCCAGGAAAGGCGCAAAGCTACACAGAGAAACCCTGTCTCGGAAAAACAAAAACAAAAAAAAGATCCTATGGCTACCCTCATTGTCATCAGAGAGTCTTCATCCAGTAACTGACAGAAACAAATGCAGAGATCCACAGCAAAAAATTAGTCTGCATATTGGGAATCCTGCTGAAGAGAGAGAGGAAGGATTGTATAGGAGCCAGAGGGGTCAAGGCCATCACAAAAAGAACAGAAACAACTAACCTGGCTCATAGGAACTCACAGAATCTGAACCAACAGCCAGAAAGCTTGCATGGGACTGACCAAGGCCCACTACGTATATGTGACAGTTGTGTAGCTTGGTCTACTTGTGGGACTCCTAGCAACGGGAGCAGGGACTGTCCCTTATGCTTTGGCTGGCTCTTGGGAACCTATTCACCACACGAGATTGCCTGGCACAGCCTTACTACATGGGGAAGTGCTTAGTCTTACCTCAATTTGCTATGCCATGCTTGGTGGATACCCATGGGAGGCCTACCCTAAGGTGTGTTACTTTTGTTTATGTTGCATTTGTTTAACTCTTTGAATAAATAAATTGTGAAAAATTAAAAAAATCCATATCAAAAAAAAAAAAAAGGTGCCAACAGTAAGAAAGACAAGCTGGAGGAAGTTCAGCATGGAAAGCTCATCCACAGAGAGAAATGCAATCAAGAACGTCAGCGGACTGCCTCATTTCACCAGTCACTTTTTACTGGATGTCCGTAAGCCCCTGATTTGATGATATCACACACACACACACACACACACACACACACACACACACACACACACACACACACACAGAGTCTATCACTTGTTATTTATTCTTTTACTTTTGTTTGCCATATACTTAATGAACTCACTCATTCAAAATGCTGGAGAGATGACTCAGAGGTTAAGAGCACTAGCCATTCTTCCAGAGGTTCTGAGTTCAATTCCCAGCAACCACATGATGGCTCACAGCCATCTATAATGAGATCTGGTGCCCTCTTCTGGCATGCAAGCATACTTGGAGGCAGAATGTTGTATACATAATAAACAAACAAATCTTTAAAAATAAATAAATAGAAACAAAACAGAAAGCATGGTTCTTATAGGTCATTCTCTGGACCCTACAGAACACCCAGGTTGGCCATGACCTTAATAAGTAGCAGAAACTGGTCTTGAACTTTCCATCTTCCTGCTTAATCTCCCAAGTGCTTTATTACAGGTGTGCGCTGCTATGCCCGGCTCTTTCCTCTCTGTCTAGGTTAGAACTCCTGGGCTCAAGTGATCCCTTCTACCTCAGTCTCTGCACTAGGTGACACTACAGGCAGGAGCCACCATGCTCACCTCTAATTCCACCCTAAAACACAATACATTGTGCTGGGCATGGTGGCACATGCCTTTAATCCAGCACTCAGGAGGCAGCAGCAGGCATTTCTCTGTGAGTTTACAGCCAGCCTGGTCTACAGAGTGAGATCCTGGACAGCCAGGGTTACATGGAGAAACCCTGTCTGGAAAAACCCAAACAAACAAACAAAACATATGTTGTGCATAAGATAACCTTTGTCCTGTTGCTTATCTAAGGGTAAAGCTTAAGGGGCTAAAGAGACAGCTTAGTAAAGAGCACTGGCTGCTCTTCTAGATGGTCTGAGTTTAGTCCCCAGCATAGCTGCTTACAACCACCTGTAACTCCAGTTCCAGAATACCCAACACTGTCTTCTGGTCTCTGCAGGCACCAGGCACACACAAGGTGCACAGACATACAAAACACCCATACGGATAAAATAAAAATAATAAATAAAAAGAGTAAAGCTCAAATGAATAAAGCTTCCAGGCTCAAGGGTTTCCTTGTTACTAACAGTATTCTTCACAGCTGAACAGTCATTTTGGTTTACACTGCTTGATGATGAATGAATTCTTGTACCACTCAGATCATTGAGTCAGTCTTTTAAATAAGACTCAGCAGATATGAGCAGAATGGAGAAGCAATTTCTTTTGCTGTTGTTATTTTGTTTTGTTTTGTTTTTTTTCTTTTGAGACAGGGTTTCTCTGTGTAGCCCTGGCTGTCCTGGAACTCACAGAGATCCACCTGTCTCTGCCTCCCTAGTGCTAGGACTAAAAGGTGTGAACCACCACTGCCTGGCAAGAGGCAAGTTTTTTGTTTTTTGTTTTTAATTAATTTATTTTTTTATTTTATGTACATGGTGTTTTGCCTTCATGTATGTCTATATGAGGGTGTCAGATTCCCTCAAACAGGAGTTACAGAAGACAGTTGTGAGCCACCATGTGGGTGCTGGGAATTGAACTCAGGTCCTCTGGAAGAGCAGCAGTGCTCTTAACTGCTGAGCCATCTCTCCAGCCCCAAGAAGCAAGTTCTTATAATAAAAATTCTACCTCAGCCAGCCTGGGCTGCTGTGGCTACATGAGACCATGTCCGCCCCGCCCCAAGAAAAGGGGGGGTGGCAAGATGATTTATCCTGTAAAGGCTCTTGTCACCAATCCTGAAGACTTGAGCTCAATCCCTGGAACCCACATGGTGGGAGGAGAGAACTGGTTTCGGCAAATTGTCCTCTGACCTCTACACATTGCCACGGCAGTCATGCCCCTGTCCCATACTAAATAAATAAATGTGATTAAAAAAATTTAGCTGGGTAGTGGTGGCACACGCCTCTGATCCCAACACTTGGGAAGCAGAGGCAGGAGGATCTCTGTGAGTTAGAGGCCAGCCTGGTCTACAAATCGAGTTGCAGGACAGCCAGGGTTACACAGAGAAATCCTGTGTCTTGGAAAAAACATTTTTTAAAATGTTAGATGGATACAGTGGCACTGGAGGACAGAGGCAAGAGGGCTCCAAATGACACCCTGTGCCAGGCACACAAACATGCCTGGGAGCTGTCTACTATCATTTCCATGTAGATGTCATGGCAATAGTCACCAACAGCAGCAGTATTTCACATTTGGTACTTTGCTGCTACTATAGAGTAAACTTGGAAATGTATTACCCAATCCTCACAATAGGCATTATTGCCACTGTTTTTTTTTTTTGTTTTTGTTTTTGTTTTTGTTTTTGGAGACAGGGTTTCTCTGTGTAGCTTTGCGCCTTTCCTGGAACTCACTTGGTAGTCCAGGCTGGCCTCGAACTCACAGAGATCCGCCTGGCTCTGCCTCCCGAGTGCTGGGATTAAAGGCGTGCGCCACCACCGCCCGGCGCCACTGGTTTTATAGTCACCATTTTACAGATGCTAACAATTATTGCCCTTACTGGCTGTACTCTAATTAACAAGTTCTGAGCATTTAAGTGTACCTATGCGGGTTCAAGTATTTTCTGGGACCAGAAGAAGGCATGAAATCCCCACAGCTGGAATTATAGGCAATTGTGAGCTGCCCAATGTGGGTGTTGAGAAGCGAATTCTCATCCTCTGGAAGAGCAGGAAGTGCTCTTAATCTCTGAGCCATCTCTCCAGCCCTCTTGTTTAGTTTTTGAGACAGGGGATCATGTATTACAAGCTGGCCTGAAACTCCCTATGTAGCTGAGGATCACCTTGAACTTCTGATCCTCCTGACTCTCCTCCTCCTGGGTAGTGGGAAACACAGTTATACAGTGCTGAGAACGGAACCCAAGGCTTCCTACTCTACCAACTGAGCAACTTCCCTAGCCCCTTATTTTATTTTTGAGGCAGGGTCTCCCTATACACCCAGGTTGGCCTAGAAGACTTTATATAGCCCAGGCTGTGCCTAGAACTCAAGAGCCTTCTGCCTCAGTATCCCCAGTCCTGGAATTACAAGCATATACAACAACTCCCAGCTTAAATATTGTTTTTGTTTAAAATTTTTTAACATTTATTTTATGTGTACAAGTGTTATGGCTGCGTAAACATATTATATCTGTATACCATGTGCATGCCTTGTGCTGTGGAGGATGGAAGGATGGAAGGCATTGGATCCCTTGAAACTGGAATTAGGGGTAGTTGTGAGCCTCCATGTGGGTTCTGGGAATCAAATCCAGGTCCTCTTCAAGAACAAGTGCTCTTGAGTTCCAGGACAGGCTCCAAACCTACACAGAGAAACCCTGTCTCAAACAAACAAAAAGAACAAGTGCTCTTAACCACTGAGCATACCTCTCCACCCCTTTAATATTGATTTTTTTTTTTAATCAAGGTGCAAAGGTTGAAAGTTCAGTGGTAGAATCCTTGCCTGGCATTCCCAAGCCTTGGGCTTGATCCCTAGTACAGGAATAGTAATAAAAATAACTATGAGGATGTGGTGGTATACACCTTTAATCCCAGCACATGGCAGGCAAAGGAAAGTGAAAGTCTGAGTTCAAGGCCAGCCTGTCTACAGAGCAACTTCCAGGCTAGCCCGGGCTACTTAAGGAGTCCTTGTCTCAAAAAGTCTCTAAGAAGTAGTAATAATGAGAGGAAGCAATGAAGGCTCAGAGAGTCCTCCTGAGTTCTCACCGAGTACGTGAGAGGACAGAGAAAGGCTGTAGGATCTCAGAGTCCACCCACTCTACAGCATCACTTTCCTGTGGGTCACTTGCAAACTTACCCAGCAGCCAGCTCTCTCTGTACATCCCAGTTTCAAACTGACTGCTTAGAGACGACTGCTGTAGCACGGTACAGTCCTGGAGGCTGCCTGGCCAGCTTGTCTCCACGGTCATTAGTGCCCCTCTGATGTCACACACCACCAGGCAGTTCAAAGAGTGCAGACCCTTGCGGTTCACGTAAGAGAGGTCTTCAGCATTTGGGGCCTTGATGGCCACGTGGATACAGTCAAGCACCCCTATCACCCCCGGCATCCCTGCCAACCCATAGAATTCATCCTTTAGAGACTGTACTGCAGCTTCGTCAGCTGGAAAGTGAATAAACTGTGAGGCCCTTTCCACAAGGGCTTCAGTGACATTGGCAACACATCGGCTCATAGAGGCTTGACTAATTCCAATTGCATCTCCCATCCGAGTCTGGAAGGAACCTGAGGTATAAAAGCCCAATGCCGCCAGGATCTGTGTCTCTGGGCTTATAGCCCTAGATCGCTGAGTAGGTCGAGAAAGACTTGCCCCCAAGAGTTCCACTAAGTAGTAAATGAATTGTCGGGGAAATCCATACATGGACATCAAATATTCATCAGTCACATCATCCAGTTTAAAACGGTCCAAGGTCCGGTGACCTCTGCCATACAGCAAGAGATCACAGTCAAGCACTGTTATTGGTATAGCCATAGCCAATATGGATATACACTTCTATCTGCTTTTTCTGAATTTTTCCCAGTGAAGAGCTTGGCACAAGAAGGAAGTGATAGAATTCAACAGCTAAACCATCGGTTAAATGGCTCTGACATTTATAATCTTCTTTCTGTAAAGTAATTAAAAGAAAAAACAATTAGAGCTGGGTGGTGGTGGCACACGCCTGCCTTTAATCCCAGCACTTGGGAGGCAGAGGCAGGAGGATCTCTGTGAGTTCGAGGCCAGCCTGGTCTACAGAGTGAGTTCCAGGACAGCCAAGGCTACACAGAGAAACCCTGTCTTGAAAAACTACAGAACAAAACAAAACAAAAAAGAACTAGAAACCTACAAAACCATACCAACTGACTCAAAACCTGTAATACCTTTGCAGCAATTCACTTTTTCACTCTGAATTTTTCTCCACTAACTCACTGATACATGGCTAATTTGGTCTGATTTGCAGACAATGGGGGTTTAATCTCAGTGGCTCATTTAATGCCTGGCATTCCAACTGAGAACAGCAAAAGATTAAGGGAGCAGATGGTGCAACTATTCACAAGGTAAAGAGGTCTATGGCAGCCATGAAGCAGCTTACAAGTTATACACACTGTGAGGATTAGTCATGGAGGTTTGTTTTTCAAAGCCCTGTGGCTCCACCTTATAAGATGCAGGAGTGCTCAAACCGGTCTAACCAGGAAGCTAGGAGGAAAGAAAAGAAAAAAGTCCATAACCTTGCCCGGGGACCTACACCGTCTGCTATAATAGGCTTTCTCTTTATCTCGAGGTCCAAATCCCGAGGCTGAAGGCTAGAAAAGAAGGAAGACTAGCCAGAGGGAAAGGGAGGAAGACCTTGAGAGAAACAGGTTTGGAATGCCGGGGCCACTTTTACAACCCGCCTTCAAAATATTACTAAGGGACAGAGAGAGGACAGAGAGAGCACAGGGGTTGGCTGCAAGTCTGGTGAAATGAATTGGATTCCTGAAACTCACACAGTGGAAGGAAAGAACTGTCTGACGTAACTTGTCCTCTGACCTCCACATCCTTGCCATAGCACGCCCCTCCTCCAATACATAAACATAACATTTTTTTTAAAGAAAGTTTATTCCTTTAAAAGTTGTGCAAATAAAAAGATTCCCAACCCAGGCATGATGGCTCATTGTAATTCCAGTACGTGGGAGGTGGAGGCAAGAGGATGAGTTCGAGGCAAGCCTGGACTACAAGAGCCAGTCAAAAGAGAGGAAAAAAAAAAAAAAAGCCAACAAAACAAACTCCCAAGACTGGCCCAGCGCGAACTGTAATGTTAGCATCTGGAAGCTGGGGCGGTAGCATGGCCGCGTGTTCCAGTGAGCTGCAGTACCTTCTAGGCTAACCTGAGTTACACAGCGAGACCTGGTCTCGAAAGAGCCAAATACCAAAGTCTGAGTGCTCGGACACGCCAGACGGCCGCTCACTGCCTCGCCGCAGCAGCCGGGCTCCCGGGAGCACACTCCGCCCTCCCAGCCAGGGAAGGCCCTCCCCCGGAACCCGCTGCGGCACACAGGCCGCCACGCTGCGCACCAGCGGCACCGCCCCCTCCGCGTCAGCGCCCGCCCCACGCCGCGTCCCCAGCCCCGCGGCCGCCGCGGCCTGCGCTTCGCGGCCCGCACATTCCACACGGGGCCCACATGGTCTCGCGCTCCCAAAATCTCCTCCCGTACCCTTTTCTCTTCTCTCAAGAGGCTTTAAAATTGAGCAAAAGATTTATTTGCGGAGGGAAACCAACTTTCATGGTGACCCTGAGGTACCGGAAGACTCGATAGGGCGGCTGTGGTGTAGCGAAAGTGCAACGGAAGTTTCACAGCTGCATTTCCCACGGAGCGCTGTCTCTCCCCACCGCCTGCACCGAAGCGGATGAAAACAAACACGAACGATGGCGGCGCCGGGCAGCGACTGGTGGCTGGCTTAGGGCGGGAGCGAGCGCTTGACGCGTGAAGGAGAAGCTCTGAGGAAAACCAGTCGACATCGGTCCGACAGTGTGCTCAGTTCTTGGAGCCAGGAGCCCCGTGAAGCGTGAGGTATCTCTCTGCGACCTGTGCTGTCAATACCGCCCGGGAGCGCGGAACCCTCAGCCGGGAGGCGCGGGAGGCGCGGTTGGCGGCTCCAGGCCCCGGCCTCCGGAATGAGAGCCCGGAGCCACTCTCTGTGCCGTAGCTTCCCAGGTACTCACTTTGGGGGGTAATTACCCCCGGACCATTCAGCGCCCCCAAGTGGGAGGTCACTGATCTGCGTCCTCTTGGCTACCTCCTTGTGGACGCCCAAGCTGACCAGTGGAGGAGGTTCAGCTCCCTAGCCCCTTGTTAAGTTTTCCACGGGAAGTTGGGTTGGTGTAGACCCTATTGGTTCTTGAGAGGTCCCAACCGTTGCAGAAAGCCCCCGAAACTTCCTTGCTACTTTCTTAGTTCTAAGTCAAGAAGGTCTGTTGGGGATAATTTGTAGGATTCTCGCGGGGGGGGGGGGGGGGGTTACCAAGATGAGTAAGGTAGGTTTTCATTCAATCAAAAAAAAAAATTTGAGTGCCAAATATGTACTCCGCGTGTAGGTGAGGGTGACTGTTGACTAGTGAAAAAGGGACCCAAAGTTCACGACAGTCTTCTTACTGGCAGTGGAACGACCGGTGGAAACCTGAGACCCATCCTCATTAAATAAATCTCTGGGTAAGTGGCTAAGTACCTTGGTGGGCTCATCACTAACACATCTCAGTTTTCAATTCCCCAGTCAGTCACTTAGGTCCCAGTTAATTTGTTCAATTCAACCTTAAAATTTCGTTTTGCCCCCTTTTCTCGCTCCCCAGTGAACAGTATCACGTTGCTCGCTCCTGGGTTTGTTACTCTCCTGCCTCAGCCTCCTCAGTAGCTGGGAATACCGACCCAGGCTGTCACCAGGCCTAGGTTGGGAGAGTTGAAACAAGGTCCAGCTATGTAGCTTTGGTTGGCCTTGAATTACTTACTGCTCCTCCATCCCCAGAGTCATAAATTCTGAGATTATGAAGCATATGCCACCATGTCTGGCTCTTGGAATCCTCTTGACTAATTATGTATATGTTTATATATATACATACTACATGTATGTATTTATACACACATATAGATTTAACCTAGCAATTTGCTCAGTCTACTGCTAGGTTAGTCTACAGAGCTATATTCCCAACTGGTAATACCTCTGTAAGGGCCTGTGCATTTTGAGACAGGATCTCATTGTGTATTTTATCTGGCTGACTTGGCACTCACTATTGTAGACCAGACTAGCATTGAACTGCAAGCAGGCCTCTTGCCTCTGCCTCATCAGTGTTGGCCTGCAACATCACACTCAGCCAAATAGTACTTTTTACTTTTATCCTTTTGCTGTTGTTGGTTTTGAGACACGGTCTTTATACTGCCTAGGCTGGCCTTCTAGCCTGGGATGACCTTGAACTCCTGAACCTCTTACTCCACCTCCTGAATGCTGGGATTATAGGTGTGAACCACCATATCCAACCACTAAAGCCTGAGTTTAAATCTTTTAAAGACTTGTAAGTCATTAAATTATTTCAAATTCATTTTAGATACCTTTCTGTTTTTAATTGTAGAGTTCATGTGGACCAATTTATTAGGGAAGTCTTCTGAAGGCTAGTGTAGGCTGCACAGGCAATTTCTTCTAATGGTGTCCTTTATGTCTTTCGTCACAAGAGAAGGGATGAGTGTGAATCACCACTACTTGGAAAAACAATTCAATGGTCATGTATTGTTAGTAAAAGTAAATGTCTAAGTCAAGAATTAATAGAAGTCATAACAGAATTACAATTTGAAAAATGTTGCTTCCACTTTGGTTCACATATATCTGAATAAAATGCAGAGTTAAAAAATCATTTTACAGTCATTCTAATTTTAAGGAGTTTCAGCTCCTTCCCCCATTAGTATTGCCAGTCATTTAAAGGTAATTTAAGATAGTATTAAGAGCAGATATTCAAGGCCAGCGTAGTGTCACACGCCTTTAATTCCAGCACTTGGGAGGCAGAGGCTGACGGATCTTTGAGTTCAAGACCAGCCTGGTCTGCAGAGTGAGTTCCATAGTGAGAACCTGTCTCATTAGATACTCTGTTTTAAATAACCTTAAGGATTTATTATTATGTTTACCTTTAATCTATCTCTTATTAGTGTATTTGTGCACGAGTTTGTGTGTTTATGTGTGAACAGGCTTGTGTGAAGGTCAGAGAACAACGTGTGGGAAGGTTCTGTCCACCATGAGGGTGACAGGGATCGCACTCATGTCATCAGGCCTGGTTGCAAACACCTTTAAACGCTGAGCCATCTCACTGTCCCTCTAGGAATTTTTGCTCCATGTATTTGATCGACGTGTTGCTTAGTGTATAAACATAAATGGCTGTTACATTTCTAGAGATTATATCTAATTTTTCCGGCAGAAATTCTGATTGTGTGTGCACACTCGAGAGTGTGTGTGTGTGTGTGTGTGTGTGTGTGTCCACACATGAGCCTGCACTTGTATATACACTTGCATGAAGGCGTACACATGTGCATGAAGGCATGTCACCTCAAGTTAAAATCAGGTGTCTAATATTACCATATTTTATAAAGATATATATAAATAATACATATTTTTTATTCTTATTTTAACTTTTGTTTTGTTTTGTTTTGGTTTTTTTTTGTTTGTTTTTTCGAGACAGGGTTTCTCTGTAGCTTTGCGCCTTTCCTGGAACTCGCTTTGGAGACCAGGCTGACCTCGAACCCACAGAGATCCACCTGGCTCTGCCTCCCGAGTGCTGGGATTAAAGTCGTGCGCCACCACGCCCGGCCTTATTTTAACTTTTATGTGCACTGGTGTATGCATGTATGTCTGTGTGAGGGTGTCAGATCTTAGAGTTACAGACAGTTGTTAGCTGCCATGTGGGTGCTGGGAATTGAACTCAGGTCCTCTGGAAGAGCAGTTGGTGCTCTTAACCACTGAGCCATCACTCCAGCCCATATATTGGTTTTTTGAGACAGGGTTTCTTTGTGTAGTTTTGGTGCCTGTCCTGGATCTCACTGTATAGACCAGACTGGCCTTGAACTCACAGAGATCTGCCTGGCTCTGCCTCCCAAGTGCTGGGATTAAAGGTGAGCGCCACCACCGCCGCACAGCTACCATATTATATTTTGAGACAAAGTCTCTCATCAAACCTGGAGCTTGCTGCTCTGGCTAGACTGGCTGGCCAGCAAGCTTCGCAACATTCTACCTGTGTCTACACCCCCAGTGATGGGTCAGAGAAGCTTTCTGGGTTGCCTGGCTTTTACATGAGTACTAGGAATGTGAAGTCGGGTCCTCATACTTGCACAGTAAAAATTTTAACCCATTGAGCCATTTCTCAGCCCGAAGTTCTGATTATAATATCACATGTTTTCACTTTTTTCCATTGTTGCCTTCTTGTCTTTCTTTTTTAAACAATTAATTGTTGGAGGTATATTCATGTCATAGTGAGTAGGTGGAGTCAGTCCTGTCCTACCTTTGTGAGTTCTGGGTGTTGAATTCTAATCTAAGGTCTGCAGACTTGCTGTACAGCAAATGTTATTACTCAGCCATTTTGACCTTATTACAGTAGCACTTCCATTGGTACTGAATAAATTGGAAAGCCAGCCGTCAAATCTGATTTAAGAGTTTTTAAGGATGGCTGGTACTTGCTGCCAAGGGTGGTCCTGGGGACCCATATGGTGGGAGAAAAGAACTGACTCCCACAAGTTATCCTCTGACTTACACACATATGCCTCACAGGTGCCTCACCCGGAAGAGAAGAACAAATAAATGTCATTGAAAATGTTTTTAAGCTTGTTATGGAACTTCCTCTCTGACCAACATCTCTTTTACAAGGGTGGGGCTGAACTTTGCAGTGATAAGTACTTGGACTCTCTGGTGACCAGCCCTAACCTGAGGTTTCTTAGGCCCATCCTAAGGTGCCTTGTTAGTGTAAATAGCTTTATTTGAAAAACAAGACATTTCACTCAAAATTTCTAAGGTTTTTCAAGCTCAGTGACAGATCCTGTAGTAGCTGTTGCCTTGCTTGCTGACCTTGAGCTTGATGTCCTGCCTGTGCTAATTCCCTGCCGGGTTCCACCCTCCTGAATGCCTAAGGGAAGTTCCTTATCTGTGTATCCTGCATATTGGGCATAAACGGCTTAGATGCAAGATTGTAAAACATTAGGAACTTCTGCCTCCGGGGTTCTCCCATTGTGCTGTAAGCCTGTATTTAAGACCTCCTCCCTCCTTCAATCAGCATTCAAAATAAATAAATAAAGATAAAATCAGCTAAAAAAAAACCTTAAATGTTAAAACAAACAAAAAAAACCAAACCCACCAGTAATCCAGCACTTGGAGGAATGATAACTGAGTTTTAGGTTGGCTTGAACAATATAGTGAGACAATTCCTCAAAAAGGAAATCTGGCTAGAGAAAAATGTATGGTGCCTGGAGATAGTTCAGTGGTTAAAAGCACTGACTGCTCAGGAAACCCAGATTTCATTACCCAAGGCAGCTCACTGTAAC